AAGCAAGATTTGTTCTATGGAAAAATAGCCAAGGCAGAATAGCCACACTCTAGTTAATAGTGTAATATTACCAGAGAAAAAGCTACGTAGGATTAGGTTAACAACTCTTAATGCCTTTTTGGCTATGTAGTTACAGTGGGCTCTAGCACTTAGATCATTAGAGATGAGTATTCCAAGGTCCTTTACAGAGCTTGGATCATTAACAAGGTCTTGACTATTCAGCTTGTATTTTATTTTCTGATTTTTTTTGCCAATATGTAAGACAGAGTATTTATTTGTTGAGATTTGAAGTTGCCATTTGTTTGACCGTTCTGATACATAGTCAAGATCTTTTTGAAGGGTAACAGTATTGTCTGTGATATTGAACAGCTTTACATCATCAGCGAAAAGAACGCAGTTGCTTTTAATATGATCACAGAGGTCATTTATGTGGAGTATGAAGAGTGTTGGTCCTAGAACACTGCCTTGGGGGACACCACTATTGACAGGTACAGATTTTGATGGGACACTCCCAATTTTGACCATTTGTTGTCTGTTTGACAGGAATGCTTCTATCCAGTTATGCAGTTGTCCCGGGATACCATAAGATTTTAGTTTTAGGAGTAGTTTGTCGTGTACCACTGAATCAAAGGCTTTACAGAAGTCTATGTAGATTGCGTCTATTGTTTTGCCCTGATCGAGTTGTGTGGTCCATATGTTTTTGCAGTGTAAGAGTTGTAGATAAAAGGATAGCTTTTTTCTGAAACCAAATTGTTTATTGGAGAATAGGTTGTTTGTTTCTAAGTGGAGGATAATGGATTGGTTAATAATTGATTCCATGACTTTACAGGTGACTCAGCATAAGGAGATTGGTCTGTAATTTTCAACTAGGCCAGGGTCTCCCTTTTTGAAGATTTTTGAAGATGGGGATGACCTTTTTGAAGATGGGGATTATCTCCTGCTATGGCACAAGCCTCTTCAAGGCACAGCAGAAGACCAAAAAGCATTCCTCAGCACAAGGGGCTGCAGCTAGAATTAAAGCCAAAGCTGTGGCCACAAAGAAAAATTCCAAGGCTGAGGAACACATGGAGAAGAGAAGACATAAGGCCCTGGAATAACAGTTTGCTAAAGGCCTGGAGCAAAGGGAGGGGCGGGGCCAACTCTCACCCCATTCAACTGTTGCTAGGGCAGATTTGGAAACAGTTAATGTTCAGATCCCACAGTC